GGTCCATTTTATCTATGTCACTTCTGTTATATTTAATTTACAATTGATCGGTCCATTTTATCTACGTCACTTCTGTTATATTTAATTTACACTTGATCGGTCCATTTTATCACGTCACTTCTTTTACATTTAATTTACACTTGATTGGTCCATTTTATCACGTCACTTCTGTTATATTTAATTTACACTTGATCGGTCCATTTTATCACGTCACTTCTGTTATATTTAATTTACACTTGATCGGTCCATTTTATCATGTCACTTCTGTTATATTTAATTTACACTTGATTGGTCCATTTTTTCTTCTTGAATATAAATATATTCTGGTAATCGTTTCTGTTTTTGGAAAACGCAAGTTAATAATAATAACATGATATATTTCTGGTGTAATTATCATTAATTTGTACCTCTAGTTTGCTGAAGATGTAATTCTGAAGATTTCAAAACATTTAATAAATGCTTCATGTAATTACATTCATTATTAATTTTATACTTATGTGCATTATTTACTTCTGTTTAACTATATTTTTCTAATCTTTATTCATATATATATATATAATTATTATTTTTTCACTTGCATACTCTGTTGTCAATTTTAGTTCTCTGGTTACTTTTTACGATTATTTTTCAAAGATTTTAATTCTTACCTACATTTTACTAATTTACTTTTACACATTTTAATTTTTAACTTTTTTTTTTTTCTTTTTACCCCCTCTCTTTCTGTACTCTGGAAATCATTGTCACTCTTGTAACATTCCCTGTTAAATTCAAGTTAAATTTTTCTTTGTTTTTATGGTGGGCTACTCTAGCTGTAGATATCCATGACATCACTGAATATCATATAATTGTCACATTTTACATGTACTCTTCCTGTTCACTTATAATTCAACCCCGAAGAAGGAAGTTCTATGTGGCAGATTGTTGTGTTATGATTTGTAAACCTTTACTCTTTTGTTTTCCTAGTACCATAGTAACATAAATAGACCAATTTATAGCCTGACGGGAAAGAAGGAGCCGTAAAATACATAAATATAGTAATAAAGCTAAAACAATAATCCTCAAGGGAATGACAACAACAAAAAGGAGAATGAAATTTCACTTGATTATTTATTTTTGAACATAGCCATAAATAGAGTTGTGAAATTAGTGATATTTGCTAATCAGTTAATTAATGAACCACACAGAAAGTCATCACATGTTGATCTAAGACACTGCTATAGTAACACAATTATTATTAAGTCATACAGAAAGTCATCACATGTTGATCTAAGACACTGCTATAGTAACACAATTATTATTAAATCATACAGAAAGTCATCACATGTTGATCTATGACACTGCTATAGTAACACAATTATTAATAAACCATACAGAAAGTCATTACATGTTGATCTAAGACACAGCTATTATATATACAGAAAGTCATCATGTGTTAATCTTTGACACAGCTATTATAACACTATTGCTATTTAACCATACAACAAAAAGCCTAGGGTGTTCTGTTTGTTGTTAAGCTCAAGCGTATACAATGGGATATCTGTGCTGTGTCCACCATGGACATTGAAACCTGGTTTTTAGTGTTATAAGCTTTAAGACTTATTTCTGTGCTGTTGGGGTTCAATAGCCTAGAAAATGTTTTCTTTTGATTGTTAGATAAATCTAGGAAGCAAAAAACATTAAATTTATAAATGGCATTTTTTTGAAAACCTAATCAGATGGTTTGATTTTGGTATTATTAAATCTTGTTGGGTGACAGAAAATTAAGAGGTTATAAATGGGGCCTGATAAGTAATAGAGAACAACCCAAGAAAAGTTCATAGTAGAGTAAGTAAAAATTATTGGTCTTGTAACACTTAAAAAAGCACAATATAATAAAACGTATGGTAGACTAAAGAGAACAATATTACTTTTATAAAATGTGTATGAAATAATTACTTACAAAAATTTTCAAAGATCTCTTTTATTCTAGATTATTCACAAATAGACTAATTTTGCTTGTCAAAATACACATGCAAACTAATAATGGTAATAATGCCTTAACAACAATGCATAAACTATTGCATGCTTCATATTTTACTCTTAAAAGCAACATTTGTAGTCAAATTTCAACAGTTTATATCTTGTTTCTTTTATATATATACAACCTGTTAAATGTAAGTAGGGTGTAATTGAAGTATTGGAGGAGAATTTCCAGTTTTCAGAACATGCTTTGTTGAAGGCCAGTGGGTTGAGGTGGAAATGTTTTTTTTTTTTTGTTACAAGTACTTCTTTATGTCAAAGTTTACATGTTTCTGTTTAGTGCTGCTGTGCTGAAGGTTTGTGAGTGACCTTGATTTTTTTTTGTATTGGGAGAAACTTGAATTTAAGATTGATATATTATTTTAGATATTCAATTTTATAAAATATTTTCATTTTTGAATTACTATATTAAGGTAGTTCTGGTGTTTTAAAATTTTTGAGATTAAGTTTTTTTTTCAGCTATGCTTAAATACAGAAAGAAGAAATTAGTTTGTGAACTTTGTTGGAAAAAAATAGTATGATTTCTCAAATCTTAGTTTTTGTTACCAATTGTATTTTGAGATTTCGCTTGTGACTGAAATAACCTTTGTAGATTTGCATTTTTTTTTATTTTTGGCTATGTATTACTTGTATCTGACATAACTTCCTGGTACTGGATTGCTGATCATATTTTATTACAATACTACCTTTTTAATGTAAAAAAAATGTACTGAAGTATATTTGTAAGATTAGGATTTCTAACTATTCTACTCAAATTCAAATTTAGTCTGATGACAAGTTTTAAATTTCTAGAACATGTTGTGTAGTCATTGTAATTACATTCATGTTTAATACTGATACTAAAAGTATCATAGTGTGACAAAAGAGTATTAAAATAAGTGTTGAAAAACCTATAAAACTAAAATTTTTACCTTTTTATCTCTTAAAAACTTCTAAGCCAGTTTATCTCTTATGATGTAGATGATTTTAAGCCAGCTTCTGTAGATTCTACCAAAGGTGCTACAGTTGATGTTGGTGAAGGCCACCAGGTGATGGTTTCTGTTCCACATGTAGAAGTAAGTATAAAACATTCAAATAGTGAATTGGTTTACGTGTGCAACAATCTGAAGATTGTAAATGTATGAGCTATCAGCCTACTTGTGAAATGCAATTTTTACAGACTTAGATTTAACAGCTTACCATTTGTGACTTGATTTTTTTTTAAGCTTAGAAGTACGTATGATTTTTGGGTGAATCATGTACAGTCATTACAACTATAAAATGCATGTAAAATTTCTACTTTTGAATACATTATATTGTTTGATTAACACAAATACTGATTGTGACATACAAGTTTAAATTGGGTTAAATGTATTTTGTCTAATACAGGTTTCAGATGTCAGGGCTTTATTTGTTGTAAGCTTGTGTGTGCTTTTGTAGTTGAATTGTCTAGAAGTTATAATTATAGAGATTTGTGCTATAATAAGGTAAGTGGCATGAGTACACAAGTTGTGCATGCTGTAATAAGGTAAGTGGCATGAGTACACAGGTTGTGCATGCTGTAATAAGGTAAGTGGCATTAGTGCACAGGTTGTGCATGCCTTAATAAGGTAAGTAACATTAGTGCACAGGTTGTGCATGCCATAATAAGGTAAGTGGCATTAGTGCACAGGTTGTGCATGCCGTAATAAGGTAAGTGGCATTAGTGCACAGGTTGTGCATGCCTTAATAAGGTAAGTAACATTAGTGCACAGGTTGTGCATGCCGTAATAAGGTAAGTGGCATTAGTGCACAGGTTGTGCATGCCGTAATAAGGTAAGTGGCATTAGTGCACAGGTTGTGCATGCCGTAATAAGGTAAGTGGCATTAGTGCACAGGTTGTGCATGCCGTAATAAGGTAAGTGGCATTAGTGCACAGGTTGTGCATGCCGTAATAAAGTAAGTGGCATTAGTGCACAGGTTGTGCATGCCGTAATAAGGTAAGTGGCATTAGTGCACAGGTTGTGCATGCTGTAAAAAGGTAAGTGGCATTTGTGCACAGTTGATGCATGCTATGATGAAGCAGCATCAGGTAAAAAAACGATACAATACGTACTGTAATTAACTACACATCATGTGCAGAGATGGGACTTGTAGCTAGGTGAAGGACTTTTATGTAGGTGTGTGATGCCTCCTTGTGGCAACGTTTGTGCAACAAGTCAGAATCTATATTATTGACATGGAACAATTGTAGAAGCTTGAATAAAATATGCTCAAGTAATAAGGAGAAACAAGTTGGTGAAAATTTAAAAGTTATTTTATGTAAATTTCAACATTTTGTGTTACAGCCCTGACAAACTCTTTAACTCGGGATAGCCTCTGATTAGGTGAAAAACTCTAAAGGTCTGTTACTTCTCTGTTTACGAGGCAGGTTTAATCAATAAATTTAATGGTTTTTAATTTATTTGAATCCAATAAAAAATAATATTAATTGTGTTAATAAAAGAACATTATTTAGGTTAATGAAATATTGCAGTTTCCAAGAAATGTGCTACAAAAATAAAATAAAAGATAGGAAGCTAGATAAACCAGAGACAGAAAGGAACTTCAGAAAGACATGTTTAAGTGAAGTAGATGATATTAAAGTGACTTTAAGAAATGATAAAACATTCAAATAATTTACAGCAAGTGAGAAAAACATAGCACGCTTTGTGAAATTACATATAATATTAACTTGGTGCAACTGAAATTAATGAACTGAATAACAATACTAAATATTAATGATGAAACAACTAGTTGCCTAGTTTACTGCAACAAGTAGAAATCTACTAGTTGACTGGAAAATGATGAGTTGACAAGTTGGAAGAAATACTTTCTGGTTTATTAATGAAGATTTTTACCAGTTAGTACTGTTTCCAAAGAGAAAGGATATCGGTGAACATATGGTTCTTGGTGTTGGTGTTACTAATATGACACATAGAGGTACTATTTCCAACGAGAAAGGATATTGGTGAACATATGGTTCTTGGTGTTGGTATTACTAATATGACACTTAGAGGTACTATTTCCAAAGAGAAAGGATATAGGTGAACATATGGTTCTTGGTGTTGGTGTTACTAATATGACACGTAGAGGTACTATTTCCAACGAGAAAGGATATTGGTGAACATATGGTTCTTGGTGTTGGTGTTACTAATATGACACAAAGAGGTACTATTTCCAAAGAGGAAGGATATTGGTGAACATATGGTTCTTGGTGCTGGTGTTACTAATATGAGACGATACTTGTCACATCTGGATAATCTCGCTGTTACAGATATTTTTGGTTTTATTCTAACTTGAATAATTCAGCATTTGCTACAGTATGTCTCATTCCCATTGAGCATTGGTCACAATTAAAGATAGAGGTAATGTAGTGACTGAATTACTTGGGTTAGAATGGATTGGAATAAAAAGAAAGTCTGTTTTTGATCCATATCGTTATTCAAGCTTTGTTGTTGTTGGTTTTTTTACACATTGAATTGGTACCAAAATATAGTGATGTGTTGATGCTTTGATGAATTGTTATTTAAGCTTGTTAATTTATGAATAGAAAGTAGCTTTTCCCAAATAATTTGTTTAGAACTTTTCATCTCAGTAAAAATAAATCATATGTTTATACAGAAGCTTCCTGCATGCCTTCATTTTTGTCTTTAAAAAAACCTAATTAATTCTTTAGTTTGTTCTGACTGGATGCTAATATACCTACTTAGAACAAAACTAAAACTCGACATGGTAATGATTATAGCTAATTCAATACATTTTTCTTCCTTATTTATAAAGATTAGAATGTGTTGTTTCATCACGTGTTCATGTTTTTGGCATTGATTGAAAATGAATGTTTGTTGTTAGTCCTTTTATGGTTATTGCCGTATGTTTTATATTTAATTTTTGTAATTATTTTATAGGGTTCAGGTACCTCTCAAACAGTGTTTAAAGGGTGTAAGAAACCATATAAAAAGGAATGTGTTTTGATAATTAATCATGACACTGGTGAAGTTACCCTTGAAAAACTTAGCTGTAATATACAGCTGAAGAAAACAAGGTGAGTTTCTTAAGTTATGCTGAAATTGGCCAAGCAGTCTTTCTTTTTTTTATTTAAGAAGAATAATTTCAAAAGTCAATCTTGGCATTATTATACTTTATTAATTAACATTCCATAGCCTAACACTAACTGACTTAATCTTGCCGTATGTGTTAGTATTGTGTACTGAGTTTTTATTATACTTTATTAAATAACATTCCATAGCCTAACACTAACTGACTTAATCTTGCCGTATGTGTCAGTATTGTGTACTTAGTTTTTATTATACATTATTTAACTCTGACATTGGAAGTTTATCACACAGAAATTAGTGCCTATTTCGGTCATCACATTATTTGACAATTAATAAAAAAAATACTAAAATTGACTTTCACTGATGACTTAGTATTAAAGCTTTCAAAAAATAAACTTTTATGCTTATTGGTTCACCTATTGGAGAGAAATATTCATTTGAAAATGAGTTTTTCCCCTGTTTATGTCAAGATTTCTTTGAAAGTTTATTGTTTTTGGAAAGTAAATTACATATAGAAAAGCTGTGTTCAGTACTAAACTAGTTAATATACACTGGGAGAATGTAGGAAAGTTATGTTTATCTTAGTCTCAGTTACAACTGCAAGGTTGGATGTTTACATGAAATGTAACCATTGTGTAGCTGTTGTAGTTAGCTGGAGTCACGATGGTGTTGTAGTTAGCTGGAGTCACGATGGCGTTGTAGTTAGCTGGAGTCACGATGGCGTTGTAGTTAGCTGGAGTCACGATGGCGTTGTAGTTAGTTGAAGTCACGATGGCATTGTAGTTAGTTGGAGTCACGATGGCATTGTAGTTAGTTGGAGTCACGATGGCATTGTAGTTAGTTGGAGTCACGATGGCGTTGCCGTTAGCTGGAGTCACGATGGCGTTGCCGTTAGCTGGAGTCACGATGGTGTTGCTGTTATAATTAGTGGAAAGGGAGGTCATTCAGCAATAGTAGAATCCAATCAGAAGAGGACAAGAAAACTATGAAGCTGAAGGATACTTTGTTCTTTTTATAATCACCTTTATTGTCTTAGGACATTCAGTGATTGAAATACTTAGATATGTTCGATCAGACCTCAACCATAAGAAATAGTTAAAGAACATATACCGTTGTTTTACTAGGTGTGCAGAGTGTCCTAGATGTCACAGACATATTGAAAACCATACTTACAGTGAAAAGTAAAGTCAAAATGGAGTGGTTCTGAGCAAAAATAACCTTGATTCGGGAAGAATTTTCATCTTCATAAAAACAACAATTTGAGAATTACATTAGGTCTTCGAAGCAAGAGACTGGATACTAAGGTTGAGAAATTGGTCTTGTGGATTTTCTTGAGTCCAAAACGTGTTAATTTTTCTATAGTCAACTAACAGTTTTAGAAATAAACAAAAGGTAATCCTCAATAGCTGCAATTATAATTAGATCTCAAATCGGTCAAGAAATGGAGCTAAAAGTTTGTACTTGAAAAAACCTGGAGCCATTCTATGAACCACTATGCTGTGGCTAAAAATAAATGTACTATATGATGCAGCATGGAAATATAAAGAAAACTTGCATAGATTACCAAGATGACAGGTGTATTAATGGCAACTTTAAAGATCTTATGAAACTAAGTTTAAATTGGATAATTATCATTATTAGGCTAAAATATGGAAAAAAAATAGTCTAAATTTCATTTGTTTGTAAAAATGGTGACACATTTTACTGAAAAGGGCATTATTTTTACTCAAAATCATATATATATATGGATTAGCAACAGTATGTTAAAATGATTCTAATGTTTTGGAAGCAAAAACAGTTGTAACTGCACTATACATGAAAATGTTGTGTCTTAAAACTCCAGTGAAATGTATCTTGTATAGTGCAGTGTTTTCAAAGTTACACTTGCTGTGCTTTTTAAAATTCACTTTAAATGTTAAGTATGGGACTGTAAGACACTGATTATTAGTTCATGGTAGTTTTAATTTAATGTTAAGTATGGGACTGTAAAGAAACTGATTGTTAGTTCATGGTAGTTTTAATTTAATGTTAAGTATGGGACTGTAAAGAAACTGATTATTAGTTGATGGTAGTTTTAATTTAATGTTAAGTATGGGACTGTAAGAAACTGAATGTTAGTTGATGGTAGTTTTAATTTAATGTTAAGTATGGGACTGTAAGACACTGATTATTAGTTGATGGTAGTTTTAATTTAATGTTAAGTATGAGGACTGTAAGAAACTGATTGTTAGTTCATGGTAGTTTTAATTTAATGTTAAGTATGGGACTGTAAGAAACTGATTGTTAGTTGATGGTAGTTTTAATTTAATGTTAAGTATGGGACTGTAAGAAACTGATTATTAGTTGATGGTAGTTTTATAGCATTTTATGATGTTCTTATACTGTTCTTTTAGTAGTTTAAACTGGTGCATATACTGTGTCAGATTTACGTTTGTCATTGTGTGTGTGTTTAGATCATTACATTTGGAATAAATTGTTAATAAAATAAGTAATCCAAATGTTAGACATTAATGCAATAAAATACTTTCCTTATTAAAAAACATATCTCCTTTGTCCACTTGCTTATTTATTTTGAACATTTAAAAGTGACTTGTTTTTTTTAAATTTATACTTACAAATGAATTCCTGTAGTAGAAATGAGAAAAAAAGACGATACTATTCTTATTATTCTCTTCTTTAAAATATACGAATTGTAATAATTAACAATAGGCATTTCATTTTAGTGCATGGGTAAAAAAAACTAGACTGTGTATCTATACTGAGATTGCATTGTACAGCTATTTAATCACTTGGTGTTATTGCAGTAACGAACACAATTTTATGTAAAAGTTTTTACAGTCATCGAATATACTCTTTCAACAGTTTATAATTTTGGAATATATTTCTCTCTTGTTCAGATTGTACCATTTCTGTTGTTTTTATAGATCATTATTTCATGTTTGTTATTACAGAATACTTTGTAAAACAGAGTAAATAAGTAATTTAAAATGGACATTAGTTTTAATTCCACATTACCAGTACTTTAAATTGAAGTATTAAAAGTTGAAAACATGTGTGTCCACACAGAACTTCTGGACATCTGTTAGTTACCTTCTTGAGGGAAGTAAGGATAGAACTCAAATTACGTTCCACGTGTGGTACTTAGGCTCCGAATGGAATACTGAAGGAGTTGAAAAGAAGGAACAAACTTCTTTGAAGTTACTCTTGTGTTTAAGTACTAGTACATGTGAAGAGAGTTACTTTATCTCCTCAATCTCTTTACCGTTTGGTCCGTGCTACAGAGAAAGTGGTTCCATTTTTTTCTTTTTAGTTTGTTTCAGATTACTGTATGAAGGTACGCAAGGGCTATCTGCGCTAGCCATTCCTAAGCTTGAACTGATAGCCTACAGGGAAATAATCTTGTCAACAACACCCATTGTCAACCCTTTTTTTTTTGGCTAATCTTATCTCACTGAACAGTGGGAGTTGACTGTCACTCTTAAAGCACACTCATGGTCATAAAGTATTGGAGTTCTTGAACACTTTTTTTATAGCAATGATATGCAAACTAGGGAATTCACGGTACAGCCATACCTGGTCTTTTCTGTTTTCACTTTTGTACATGTTTTTTGTTTAGATTGAATGATTTAGAGTTATGGAGTAAGTTATAAGAAAGCTTATTATGTAGAATTATATTATAAATGTACCAGCTCTAGTATTTATAAATAGCTAGTATATTCTCTCTTGAATTGTAGTTATCTTACAAAAATGGGGATTCTTAGATTCACCCTCATAAATGGGGATCCCATTTTAGAATTCTTAATGTTGTTAATTATTTTATATAGATAATTTTTCAGTGATACGTAAACAAAAACTCAAGTCTGTAAAATATCTATAAGGAAAGTTGATTATAACTGTTGAAAAGGTTCTTCATTACGTAATTTTTTAGCGAACTTTATGGGGTAGTAAAATTAAGTTAAAAATGCATTTTATATCTAATACCCATGTTTCAGGGCTGAAGGAGCCAGTCGGACACAGTCTCACCCAGTCAACCCCTTTGATAATAAGAAATCCTCCCACTCACCCCATCAGAAGCATCATTCTCCAATTAGGAAAGATTCATATTCCCCACCTACCAAAATGTCTTGGTCAACAACTAATCATTACTCTCCAAACCAGAGGACTTCACCATATCAAAGAAGTCCTACGAGTCAACCCAGTCCTTCCATGCCTTCTCTGCTTGTTCCATTTAATGAAACATCCAAGAACAGCATAGCCTCTAATAATGTCAGTATGCCTCTCTATACTCGAGATGTCCCTGTCCGTAAGTTTATGTTCAACTATACTTGTACAGATAAAAACTATTCAAACAAATAACTACAGCTCAATTTGTAGGTTACCTAATAACTCGCGAAATCATGGAAACAAAACTGTAAAGTGTTCCCAATATCTAACAATCATTCTAATAGGATTTTCAGAAGACTTTGTGAAACAGCAGGTGAGTATTTCAGGACAGTTCCCGTCAGCAAGTATAGTAACATGGTAAAATATCAGACAATATCATTTCGTGCATCTGGAAGCATATCAGCACATAAGTGAACGAACAGGTAGACTCGGTGATCTCTGGCCATTACAATTACATATTTTTTTCACGTTTAAAATTTCTTTTGAAAATATGTAAATTTGTAATGAATTTATCTGTGACGTATGATTTACAGGTTGTACAAAAATACTGTTATAATTGTCTTATGTCATCATTATCAAATATCTGCTCACACCACCAATATGTTTGTTAGAAGGCATTAAAGAACTATTACAGGAGCTCTTTCCTTGGAAAAATAATAGTCTGATGATCTAATTTTCTTTAAAACTGTGTGTAAAATGCTTACTTATCTGTGGTTTTTTGTAACTAGTTTTATTATTTTTCACCTTTTATATTGAATTAAAAACTTTTTGTTTAACTACTTGTCCTTTGAAAGATGTTACTTGATGTACAGTATGGCTCAAGTGATTTTCTTTCGTTTCCAAAGCTTGTATAATCATAAGCTTTTTATTGTCTGTTTAAGTGCACATTAATCCTGTCAGTGGCCAAACCAAAATTACATTTTATAGAAGGATTATTTCATAAGATGTGTGAAGAATATCTCATAAGAGAATCCTCTATTTTACAGTAGTAGCTGTATGTATTTTATTTTGCTCTATCTTCTTTTAAAGTGGAGTTAAACAAAGTTTTCAGTACATAAACTGAGTTTTTGGATGTCTCCCATAATTTTTTTTTTTATTTGAGATTATCTTCCAGGTCCCGTGCTTCATCAGTCCTTTTTTTAGAAGTCCATAGAAACTGTGGTTAACATGTTTTGTACTAGTTATTACTTTAGTACTGTTATTTTTATGTAGTTTTCAATGAACTTCTGTTGAATGATATTGATTGTATATACAGCTGATTACAAATGATATTTCAATCTATTAAGCATGTGATGATGAAGCCCCTGAAGTAGGAGTTTTATCAGATTCTGGAGATTCAAGCAGCAGTGGATCTAGCTCAGGTGATAGTGAAAGTGAAGAAGAAATGGACAGCCATTTGATATCACAACCAACAAGTAAAGTATACAGTAAAATTTTGAGTTGATTCCGTTGAAATATTTTGGAGAATTAGTTGTGTAAACTACTGTGGTTTTTCTATAACAAATCACTTTAAAAATTTTCCACATATCTGCAAGCTAAACTACCTTTTACATGTGTGTGTTTATTTATTCTAGGTGTTTGCTACATCACCACTCGAGAATGAAACTTATAACTTGCAACGATACAGCTAATGGAAATTACTACAATAATGAAAACATTAGTTAATGCAAAAAAAATTAATGAAATCTAGGCCTGCCTTCTTATATTAAAATGAATGAAATCTAGGCCTGCCTGCCTTATATTAAAATGAATGAAATCTAGGCCTGCCTGCCTTATATTAAAATGAATGAAACCTCGGCCTGCCTGCCTTATATTAAAATGAATGAAATCTAGGCCTGCCTGCCTTATATTAAAATGAATGAAACCTCGGCCTGCCTGCCTTATATTAAAATGAATGAAATCTAGGCCTGTCTGCCTTATATTAAAATGGATGAAATCTGGGGCTGCCTTCTTATATTAAAATGAATGAAATCTGGGGCTGCCTTCTTATATTAAAATGAATGAAATTTAGGCCTACCTCCTTATGTTAAAATGAATGAAATTTAGGCCTACCTCCTTATATTAAAATGAATGAAATTTAGGCCTACCTTCTTATATTAAAATCCCATAATTTTTCATTTTAAAGCAATATAAACTAAAATGACTTACTTTTTTTTTAAAGTTTTTATAAGAAATTTGAGTAAGGTAAGCTGATGATACGTAATATGAAATTTTTTTATGGAAAGATAACTGTTGAGGAAAGTAAATCAAACTTACAAGTATTCAATATAAGAAATTGAAAAAAAGCTACTTTATTCATGGAAACCTTTTTATCCTCTCTGTCAAACTAGTGAAAGAGAATTTAAATTCACTAAGTTTCTCTAAAACAAATTACATGTTAGAAAATATGATTCAAACTAACTCGAATGGACAACATACGAAAATGTCTCTGTATGCCCATTGCTATCGATGGGCATGGACAATTTTTGGCCGGATAATATTCTACATATCTCCATCATGTTTCATCAAAATCCGATTATTTTTGACTGAGTTACAGACTGTTAACAGATAGGGATTTTTTAGATTTTTGTGGCCTTGCTGTGATCTTGACTCTCTAAAAAATAAACTTGTAAGTTGGTTTATGGTTGAAATATATACCCACTTTCGTCCAAATCCATTTAGCTGTTTTCGAGAAATCTTGCTGACAAACACGCACGAGGATGAAAACATAACCTCTGTCACTTTTGGTGGTAAGGGTAAATATAATGTAACTGTCATACAGATCAGAAGACCACGTATCTCCCCTGTTACTGTTTTTTTTGGCATCATTATCCTAAAAACAGATGCTGCAATTTTAATAGAACACAACACATTAGTACACAAAGCATCCATGTTTATTTATTTAAACATGTATTTATTTCTATTGTAAGAATGTTAGCCTCTGTTTTTCACACATTTTTCATTGTATGCATTCATCATATTGAAATGAAAATTAAACCTACAAACATCCAGTTATATTATGTGAAATCTCTTACTTATTGGATTCATAACAGTGTATTGTTTGTGAATAACATAGTTTCTAGTGTTTATGTACTATTAAATACTTGTTCTTCCAAGTACTAAGATATTATGCTGGTTTTAAGTATAAGTAAAATGCCAAAAAGGCTTGAATCAACACCAATGTGACAAAATCTTCTGTTAGTAGTTGTGACTAGCTTGAACCAATACCATTACGACAAAATCCTCTGTTAGTAGTTGTGACCAGCTTGAACCAACACAATAAAATCTTCTTTCAGTAGTTGGGACTAACTTGAACCAACATCAATACTACAAAATCCTCTGTCAGTAGTTGTGACTAGCTTGAACCCAACACCAATATAACAAAATCTTCTGTTAGTAGTTGTAACTAACTTGAACTAACACCGATACAACAAAATCCTCTGTCAGTAGTTGTAACTAACTTGAACCAACACCTCTGCAACAAAATCCTCTGTCAGTAGTTGAGACTAACTTGAACCAACACCGATACAACAAGATCCTCTGTCACTAGTTGAGACTAACTTGAACCAACACCAATACAACAAAATCCTCTGTCAATAGTTGAGACCAACTTGAACCAACACCGATACAACAAAATCTTATGTCAGTAGTTGTAACTAACTTGAACCAACACTGATACAACAAAATCCTCTGTCAATAGTTAAGACTAACTTGAACCAACATCGATACAACAAAATCCTCTGTCAATAGTTGAGACGAACTTGAACTAACACCGATACAACAAGATCCTCTGTCAGGAGTTGTAACTAACTTGAACTAACACCGATACAACAAGATCCTCTGTCAGGAGTTGTAACTAACTTGAACTAACACCGATACAACAAGATCTTCTGTCAGTAGTTGTAAATAACTTGAACTAACACCAATACAACAAAATCCTCTGTCAATAGTTGAGACCAACTTGAACCAACACCGATACAACAAAATCCTCTGACAATAGTTGAGACCAACTTGAACCAACACCGATACAACAAAATCTTCCGCCAGTAGTTGGGACTAACTTGAACCAACACTGATACAACAAAATCCTCTGTCAATAGTTGAGACCAACTTGAACCAACACTGATACAACAAAATCCTTTGTCAGTAGTTGTAACCAACTTGAACCAACACTGATACAACAAAATCTTCTGTCAGTAGTTGTAACCAACTTGAACTAACACTGATACAACAAAATCCTCTGTCAGTAGTTGTAACTAACTTGAACCAACACTGATACAACAAAATCCTCTGCCAGTAGTTGGGGCTAACTTGAACCAACACCAATACAACATAAACCTCTGTCAGTAGTTGTAACCAACTTGAACTAACACCGATACAACAAAATCCTCTGTCAGTAGTTGTAACTAACTTGAACCAACACCGATACAACAAAATAGTACAGTACATGAAGGTAAGAAGAAAATTACAACAAAGCCTTTATATTATACCATGTCAATACTGTAAGGATGATGGAAGTAATGATTCTACAATAAAGCCTTTATATTATACCATGTCAATACTGTAAGGATCATGGAAGTAATGATTCTCC